ATCTAGGACCCGCTATTTCTCTCTCAGGATCATAAATTATGCTTCAAAAAAAATTCTAGTGAGCTTCTATCTACTCATAGTACAATAAAATGGTTAAAAAAATCTTGTTTAAAAAAATATGCATTACATATTGTAGAATTAAAAAAAATATGCATTACACATTGTAAAATTTTTAAAAAAATATGCATTTCATATAGTAAAATTTAAAAAATATGCATTATATATTGTAAAAAAAATATGTATTACATATTTAAAGAACTTATAAAGAATTATTCTAAGAAAACATACCTCAACTTCTTGGATGATTATGGAAGAATAGATAAATTTTGATTATTTAGTGAGAAAAGAAGAGAGAATGTGAGATGTAGTTGAAGAGATTATGTATTTTGTGTAAAAAGAAGGAAAAGATTTGATTATTTGTAGTGGAATTAGGAGGAGTTGTAGAAGGGATTAAGTGTGGGAATAGAGAGAGGTGGAGTGTAAAATGGAGAAAGGAAGGGTGTTACTGCGCATGCACTGCGCATACCTGTAGCCTTTTACTGTAGCTCTGAAATGGCTTTGTAAAAGCCGAAAAAAATTAAATTAAAAATAAAAAAAGGAAATTGGCTTTATGAAAGCCAAAAATCATTAAAAAAAACAAAAAAAAAAACAACTTGTCAAAAGCCGATTTCCCTTCTCAAGAATTGACCTTTCCCATTTGGGAATAATATTCAAAAAATTTTCCCTCATAGGGAAACCACCCCAGCAAGTGGGGGGCGTCCTGTATTAGTGGTCAGCCACCACCATCATCATAAAAAAAAAGATAAGATTGAAAGAAGAGAAAGGGAGTATGACGCAGCGCATGAAGACAAAAAAAAACTCTGATTTCCTAATCAGCCACTAGCCACCTCCTCTAATGCCTCCTATAAAAAGCTTTCTTCCGGTTCCGGGTCTCTTAAGGCCCGGACTCAATTTATATCTCCTGTTCTCAGTTATATTTTAATATTTTAGTTTAGTTTTGTTCCAGTTGTCCCAAGGTGGCTCCGATTCTACTCTTGGTTGTAAGTTTATTTTTACAAATTTTAATAAAATGTTCTTTTATTTTATGCACTGTTGATATTTAGTATGGGTTAGGGCCCAGATTAGGGTCCTGGTTAAATTTAGGCATATACTATGTATATTTATTTAATAGTTGGAATAATTGTTCTAGAATTATTTTTATTGTTAAATTAATTAATTATATCGAGAGAAAAATTAATTAATAATTGGAAATTAGTTTTTACCTTGTCTATGAGGATATAAAATTAATTAAGCCAAACTTTTTAGAACACATTAATGATACCTTGAGAGAGGATAAGTTAATAAAATATTTGTGACAGAAATATATTTATTCCAATTATTTATTAAATATGTGACAACAGTAGTTAAACCAGATAATGCATTGGCCCGAATTCTAGTTCTATACCCGTACTATTTTTTTCTCAAAAAGCACCGGGTAATTTAGTTAATTTTTATTTTCAAATCGAATCGAGAAGACTTCTAGACTTGTCCGAACCTTCGCCTAGTTAGAAAAATTAGCTAATTCCCTTCGTCCACTCCTCGAGAGACACGACACTCGGAGAAAACTAACCTTTCATTGGGAAGGTTGACTTAACGAAAAACTCAACCGTCAACAACCATCAAATATGAATCCGTAATAAAACATTATCACGAAAGTATTTCCGTCGCAGACTCTCGTCACAAACGTTGGTGGGTCTTTCTTGCCATGCTGGTGACTAAATCACACCATGCGATGGATTTTAGTCGAAAAAACTTTACTTCCGTAACAAATGTGCGACGAATTTATTCCGAGGCAAAACATGCAGTTTCTTGTAGTGAGAGATTGCGCATTGTGCAAAACTTGGTTGAAGAAACTAGGAGAAGTGATTTATTAACACGGATGGATGTTGGAACAACTATGAGAAGTTGGAAGAAACTAGAAGAACTTGGAAGAAACTGAAAAGAGTAGGAAGAAACCGTAAGGAGTTTGAAAAATATGGAAGGAGTTGGAAGAAACTTGAAAAAGTTGGGGAAAATGAAGTTTTCTGAAATAATTATTATAATTAATTCATTTCATATTTTGCATTGAAAATTCCGGATTTCTAACGATGTTAATAATTAGAGATTATTGATTTCACATGATTTGTATTGTTTCTCTACTTATGCAAAATAATAACTTAGATAAGACAAAAAAAGTAGGTATTTTTATTTTAAAAAATTAATTAAATACCTATATTATTTAAAAAAATCTCACATATAAGGATGAAAGATAACCATTCCGAGTTAGAAATATAGTTTATGCTCATTTACGACTTACATAATTATTGATGAAAGAAAATAGCGTGTACAACTATTTAAATGATTACAAGTTGCAATGTCTCTTACAAAAATGTTCTAAAGAAAAATAATTATTACTTTTATTTTATAAATAATAACGAAGCTACTACTATTCACTGTTAAAACCAGTTTCAAATATGGAGTAAATAAAGAATTCACTTTGTACTTGGCTCCTAAGCTTGTATCCAGTGGCGGAGCCAGGGGAGACTTCATGGGGGGGCAAAAATTCATTTAATAAATAAACAAAATACATAATAGTAAGTAGTAAGTATCTTAATTGGCAAATTGCAAGTAAACATTCCTTCTACTTGTGTAAAGGAGTAAGAGTTGTTTGAGGCCGTAGAAAATATTTTCGAGATGCCAACTTTTGAAAGCGCTGCATAATAACTTCATCATCGATGCTCTTAAAAATTTCTTTCTCAAAGTAGCACAACAGACAATCTGATAAAAGCTCATCTCCCAAACGGTTGCGTAAATCAGTCTTGACAATATTCATCGCAGAAAAACTCCTTTCCACTGAAGCTGTCCCAACAGGTAATATCAATGCCAATTCTATAAGCCGATATACCAAAGGAAAATATGTGTGATAATTCATCCCCACCATCTTCTTTGCAAGACTTCCAAGATTGGAGATGTTAGCAAAAACTTCATTCGATTTCATATCCGAAATGTAATTTTGAAGTTCATGAATAAGCTCAACTCGATCAGTAGAACTAAAATCTTCTGAGTATAATACAGCAAGTTCCAATAGCCGATCTTGATCAAAACTCGCAAAGCAATTAGAAGGATCAAGACACATTACACATCTTAGTAAATTTGTGTTTGTCTCTGTAAAGTGTCTATCCATTTCCACAGCAAGAGTATCAATCACCTAAAATCAAATAAAGAATAATTATAATAATAACAACTTATTTAGTATATTATGATATTAAAATACTTCCAAAAAGGATATCAACATTTAAAAATAATAAGAGTAATATACCTTTGCAAAGATCTCTACACGAAAATGCACATAATTTGTCATGGGTTCACCACCTTTCATCTTCTTTCTTGATCGCCCACGAAGATAATCTTCCATCTTAGGTACATCAATTGCATGTTCTTCACAAAATTCACTAACTTCCTTCAAAAAGGCATCCCAACCATGATCTCTAAAATCTTGTAAGTTCTTTTTTACTACACCAATCATATTCAAAGCACAACCAATATTTTGATCTCGTTCTTGTAATATCTTTGATAAGGTGTTAGTCATACCTAGAACTTTCAACATAAACTTTCCAATAAAAACAAACTCAAAAGAATCCATTTTATCAAGAATACCACCAGCACTGTTTTTAATTTTGGGTGTTTCACCATGCATGTGTAACGAATTTAGCACTGTACCAATAGCATTCCACATATCAAAAAGACGAACAAGAGTTTTGTAGTGAGAGCCCCAACGTGTATCACCTGTACCAATAGCATTCCACATATCCTTAGCATTCCACGTTTTCTTTTATTATTTGTTTCAAATAAATATTTTATTTCTCTCATTACTCTTATATCTTTCATTTTATTTGACTTTTCATTATCTAAGATATAATATTTTGACCATTAATATCTCTAGTTATATATAAACAAATCTTATTTATCTTAAACTTATATTGAGGAAAAAGGGATTTTTTTAAAAATTGTGTCATAACAAAAAAAATTCTATTAATCTACCAAGATAAATAATAATAACAGTACTAGTAATAGTAATAATAATAACAACAATAAATATCTTAAATTTATATTTTATATTATTGTTTTTAAAAGTTTTATTTAAAATTTCAGTTTTTATTTTAAATTTTTAATTTTCTAGTGTTTAATTTTTAAGTTTTAAATTTAAAATAAATATTTTTAGTTTTTATTTTTTAATTTTAATTTTTATGTTTCAATATTTTGTTTTTTATTTTAATTTTTTATTTTACTTTTTCATTTTAATTTTAATAATTTAATTATAAGCTTTGAATTTTTAAGTTTTCTGTTTTAAATGTTATTTTGAAATTTTAAATTTTTGAAATTTTAAATCTTAAATTTTTATTTTTAATTTTTAAATTGAAAATTTAAATGTTTATTTTTAAATTTTATGTTTTAAAATTTAAAATTTAAGTTCTAAATTTAAAATTTTAAAATTAAATTTTTAATTTTTAGATTTCAATTTATAGCTTTAAATTTTAAATTTTTTATTTTTAAATTTTTATTTTTAGATTTTTAGTGTTTAATTTATTTTTCTCATTTTTTTAACCCCAAAAGGATATGTGTGATTTGATTTTGACTCGCAAAATTCAACTTTTGAATTTCCAATTCTTTTCATGTAATATGAAATTTAAAATGTAGAACTGAAAGATTTCGAATTAAAATTCAATTCAAATTCTATATATTCTTGTGTAACCAAATAGTAGAATTGGAATGGAAATCTTCAATTTTAGTTTCATTGTCTGAATTTGATGTACCAAACAAAGCCTTAATCTTTTCTCAAAAATTGTCTATTTCATCACGTGAGCTTATTTTCGAAAGGCATTGAATATGATTCACCCAATTTCTAAGTAAAAAATTATAGAGGTGAAAGAACTTTTCATTGGTTGGTGTTCACTTTTTAGAACAAAAATGGTAGAGTCCATTGATTCCCGTCCTCAAAACTGACTATTATCGGAGTTCCATGAATTTCTTTTCACCCTGTGATCTCTATAATCAAAACACCCATTCAATTCTTTTCCTGCCAGCATTCATCGCTACCCTCCCACCGATCTTAGCCGTCTCCCATCCCAACATAGCAAATATAATATATATGTATTCAAGATAACATCTTTTTATCATTACATATACGCATTCACATACGTAGAGAGAGGCAATCAGGTTAATAAACATGGGAGGGTGTGCGTCCAAGCCTAAGGTTAAGGAGGGGGACGTCACATCCAAACTTCTAGTGCCGGTGCCAGAGAAAAAAGCGGACTTTGCTGCCAAAAACACGGTGGTTGAAAAACACCTGGTGCCAGAGAAGAGAGATCACTTTGCAGCCAAAAACATAGTGGTCGAAAAGAACCTGGTGCTAGAGAAAAGAGATGACTTTGCCGCCAAAAACACGGTGGTCGAAAAGAAGATGCTTCCAGAGAAAAGAGATGACTTTGCCGTCAAAAGCACAGAGGTCGAAAAGAAGCTGGTGGTGGAGGACGGCAAGGATAATCCTACCAAGTGTTGTTATCCCAGCAATAGTTTTACCCAGGTACCAGTATATTTTGTTATAATGTAAAATTAATATAATTGAATTCAATTCTTAAAATGTATTTTTGACATTTCAAATTTTTTTTAATATTTATTTACTCCCTATGCCTTGTAATAATGTTCAACATTTCCTTTTTCGACAGTTCTAAGAAAGGTTCCACTTTCTGATTTGAAAATGTTTTTACATCTGACTATCATCAATCCATAATTTTTAATCTCTGTGCCTGCTAATTATGGAATATAATATTATTGTAGGACAGATGAAGTATTTAAATTTATATAATTTAATTTGTGAACAGATGTCAATGAGGGAGGAATTACGTGCACCGTCCAAATGTGAGCCTCAGGAGCCAAAATCTAGAGAAGAACACACACAACCTCTAGTGGATTCAATTGATTCATGTGGAAAAATGGCACCAGATTCATCACCAAAATCAAAAGAAAAACCAATAGCACAAGAAATCAAAACACTCATACTCCAAACCACTCTGAAACTTGAAGAGAATGTTGCAAAAGAGGCTCTTCTTGACCTCCCAAAAATTGAAAATTATTCTTCGGAGAGTAATAATAAAACCGAGGAGAAGCAAGCGGAAAACACCTTGAAACCAGAGATTCTTCATGACAAGAGTATTAAGCAAAAGGCCATAGAGGAAAGCACCCCAAAAATTGAGACATCAAATGATGAACTAGAAGAGAAGCACAATAAGAGTCTCATGGAAAATGTAATTTTGGACAAAGATGTAAAGAATCCATTAAAGCTTGAGGGGTTTCTAGATGAGAAAACAGAACATATTTCTCATGACGAAAACACCTTGAGACAAGAGAGTCTTATAGAGAACACAACTATGGAGAAACCTATAGAAGAGGCCTCCAAACCTGATAAGGAAATAGAAGAGAATCATGCAGAAGAAGACACCGTGAAACCTGAGAAGAACATTGAGGAAGAATCTGTAAAGAATACCCATAAGTCTGACGGTTCTGAAGAAGAAAACATTCTCGAGACAAAAATGTCTCGTGAGGAAAAACCAATCCAAAATAATAATAAAAGTTCTGATGTGATTAAAATGGAGGAGGATCATGAGGAAAATTTCACAAAATTGGAGACCCAACCAAGGAAGAGAGTAGAAGAAAACATGAAACCCCAACAGCCCGAAATACCTCGGGAGAAGGAAACAGAGACTATGCTCTTGGACCGAATTCTCATGAAGGAAATGGAAGAGAAGTGGCTAGGGAGATGAGAATTGTATTGAGTTGCATAATAAATTGAGAGCTCAACTGATCAACCACGAAACATTGTATATCGAGACACCTTAATGCATTCTTGTAAAACAATGATAATTTTAGTTTCAATTTATTGTTCAAACATACCATAGAAATACATATCATGGCTTGAGAAAAGAATATAATATACATGCATTCATTATCTTATATAAAAAAGGGTGATTGTTTTTTCCACCTTTTTTCACATGGGGTACCCCAACTTTAGACGTTGTAACAAAAAGGTACATCATCTTCTGTTTGAAACAAAAACATACCTCATCTTTAAAAATCATACTTCCTCCGTCCCCCTGTATTTGTCCACATTTGACTTTTAGAACTGTTCATCTAAGCACTTTGACTCATCAAATTCTCTCAATGTGTAAGCCTAAATATAGTCATGTGTGATCTTCTTTGATTTGTCTTAACATATAGATTATTAATATATAATTTTTATAATTTTTTAATATACAAATTACAAGATAAAATGGATTAAAGAAGTGCATTGGATGGTGTGTAAAAATGAAAGTGGACAAATACAGGGGGAGGGAGGGAGTAGTAAAATAGTGCATCTTGGTCGGAAATTTGAAGATCCGACAAACAAATACTGAATTGGCATTCATGTTGGCATTTTTCAACTCCTATGTGTTATCTAGGTGCCTTTTCTTTTCATAGTATGAGTAATTTTTTAAAGGTTTTAAGGTAGCATTTTAATGTTCTATAAATAGAAAAGAATTTTTCCCCAGTAAGTTGACATATTTGTGTGGTTAATGTAAAATGAAAATATAAGATTAATTTAAATTAAATTAAACATGTATTAAAAAGTACAATTAATTCATTGCAAACAAGTTTCTTTATTATTATTATTATTATTATTATTTCATGTATACTTTTATTAAAAAAGAAAAAAAGTACAATAAACATGGGAAGACGTAGTTCCCATCAAGATAGCCAAACCCAAAAGTATACATAAAATAGGAAATCTAAAATTAAAAAAACATATTTTTACTAATATAAAAATATAAGAAAAAAATGTTGCCCGAAAATTTTGCTAATGTAAAAATAGATTTTTATTTATTGAACAAGAAAAATGTTGCCCTTAAACTTTGAAGGGAAAATAGTACTCGTACTATGAAGAGAAAAGGAACCTAGATAACACGTGGAAGAAGATAAAAGCCAACTGATTGCTAACTCAACATTTGTTCGCGAGATTATCACAGTTCTGATCAAGGAGTACTATTTTGTGATAGTTTTAAGAGATAGTGTATGTTTTTGTTACAGACAAAAGATAAAGTACCTTTTTGTTACAACATTCAAAGTTGGGGTAGTTCATGTAAATGTAAGTGCAATAAAGTCTCATCAGTTTTAATAACTTTAATGGTTTTGAGTTCATTTGTAATTTTTTTGTGTGACAAAAGTGACTAATGTATTTGGCTTAAGGGCCCGACCTATAGAATTTGGAGTTTTGAAGGGTTGAACATTAGGCCGTGGGGTGTGGCTTCAGGACAGCAAACGTGGTGCGCCCTCCCGACCGGGAACATTGCCCCCAATCGGGATTCGGCGTGGCCGGTGTCCAGACGCCGAGCTCCACGAGCTCTTTTTCCTTTTTTTTCTTTTTTCCTTCTCCCCCTTTCTTCTTTTTTTTTCTCTTTTTCTTCTATTTGTCTTCTTCACATCAATTGTTTTTGTAGATTTGTTTCTTGTTTTTATTTCTTAATTTCATATTTTAATTTCAAAATTGGTTTTAATTTGATTTAAAACAATATCCGAAGAATATTGTTTTTCCTTCATTCTGCTTCATAACGGAATTCGTAGACCAAACTGGATGATCACTCGTTTGGAAATACTTCGACTCAATGATGATTATTCACTGTCTTATTGTTGCCTTAAACTAATTATACTTTAAGCATCTGAGAATTGTTGGTTGCCTTAAACTAATTAAAATTTAAGCGTCGGAGAACTCTTGCCTTAATCTAATTAAAGTTTAAGCATTATAGGAGAATTGTTGCCTTAAACTAATTATAGTTTAAGCGTTCGAGAATTGTTTGCCTTAAACTAATTATAGTTTAAGCGTCTGAGAATGAAATTATGATCTGGTCTTAGACTAAAAATAACTAAGAGCGTTGTTATGATCTGGACTTAGGCTAAAAATAGCTAAGAGCGTTGTTATTATTTGGCCTTAGATTAAGAATAATTTAAGAGCACCGTTGAATTAATATCTGAATTGAATAAAATATGTTGATGTGAACTGAACAATATCAAATTAAAATTGTGAATGTCTGAATTGAACATTGTGTGCATGATATCAAATGATTTGATTATGAATTTAGATTCAGTTTATATGGATGATCGACGAATTAGATATGCAAGCAAACAGAAAGAACAATGTGATCCTGGTGGCAGATGGGGCGAGATTGTCGAGATGGATGTGACATGTCTTGAATGATTTATGATATGACAATATTTAAATTCGCTTCCGCAATATTGTTGAATACTCTGTATTGTATATGTTATGAAAAATATTATTGTGATATCTAAAAAGTGTTTGAAAAGTTTTAAATTTTTATGATTACCAAGTTAATACTTTAGTCCGAAAGAGGCTGCAAACCTGGACGGATTAGGGTGTTACATAAACCGTGCTTTCCCTATTGTAATTATTAGTTCACTTTCAACAACCAATTACCTTGTGGATTCCGAGGACGTAGAAGGATTACCCCACCTTCGAACCTCGTTAAAAGTTTGCGTGTCTCTCTCTCTAATCTTTATGTGATTATTTTAAATTGTGAAACTAACTGATCCATACTTGATTACTGCTCCAATAATCCACCAACTTTAGCAAATTTAATATAAGTTCTCAAGAATTTATAGATTGATAATTGTCTCTTATCAAAACATATTTTCAAAAAGAACGTTTTTTTTTAATTTGTAACAAAGTCTATTCACCCCCCTATAGAATTTGTACCTCACCACCTAGGGAACCATCAGTGGCTCAGTGCAGATGCAGGACTTTGAAAATATTGACACAATGATCCAAAGATCATTTTTAAAACCATTGGCTCTGATACCAAAATGTAACACCCTAACCCGTATAACCTAGAATTACACGTATTAAGGTGAAAAGGAGCTAAAGAAAATTTTCTAAGACATTTCAAAATAACAAATACTTAGTCAACATCAAATTACATACCTTGGATCACAACTCATTTAAAAATGTTTTTGGAGTAAAGTCGAAATACAACAACCATTAAATAATGACTCAAATAAAATATTGAAGATCAACCATTGCCTGCAATCCCTGCACCTCCTCTAACTCAATGCCCCCCGGAATGGTTCCATCATTATCTTCTTGTTACCTACGTGTAGCCCAACAAAATACAAAACTACACGCTCAGCGAAACCGCTCAGTAATACCACGCCAAAGTTGGAGAATGTTTCATAGGCATATATATATATATATATATATATATATATATATACATACATACATACATACACATATATATATATATATATATATATATATATATATATATATATATATATTCACATAACTCACATAAACATATATGAATATTCATGATTTGGCACATCATAGAACATATGATCAAAATGATTGTTCATGATGATGAATACATGATGCATGGACTGTAATGCCCTAAACAATCAACTACTAAGTCAGATCGAAACTAGATTATTTTGGGATTTGTACCTTTAATGCGGAAACTTATTCTATGTTGTAGGGTTTGCTATTCTGAACCCGATTACGTAAACCGGTGAGCACTCCGGTCCGGTTCAAATGTAAAACCCGGATCTGCATCGACCTGCCCAAACCCGGTGAGCACTATGGAGATCGCATTTGAACACTAAACCTCACCATACAATTCTCTAAGACTATAACCACTTAAGTTACTCAACATTTGTTTCCAAAGTCATGTAGAATAATATATATAGTATATTTCATTTGTGTTGAGTGAATTAAAAAAAACTTCTAACTATTTATAAGAAAGAACATGTTTGTGTTGTGTGATTATTATATAATCTTTTGAAATATCAAACTAAAAAAATAAATATTACTTTTTAGAGTAAATTCTATAATTGGTCATTTATAATAGGGGAGTTTCTAATATTATCAAACTAAAAAAATAAATATTATTTTTCTAATAATATTACTTATTTATATAATCCTAGCCCACAATCATAGTCATTATTTTTGTGTTATCCGCTTAACCAATATCAGAACACGTCACTAGACATAATGTTGATGTCAAATTATACTTTTAGCCTTTAAATTAACACCAATACGGCAGAAGATAAAAAAAGGACCATTTGTAGAAAAGTACCCTTAAAAAAAGGACTACGAGGGTAATATTTAATAATAAAGGACTAAATATGGAAACCCCAATAATTTATAAAGTATTGGAATTTACTCTTTTCAAAAGATTTATTCACGCGATCGGGGGCCTTCTTCGCTTTCCATCGCCGGTCAGCACTGTCGCTTCCTCTGTCTTCTCCGGCGACTATCGTCCTAGCCACATCGTCCCTTCCCTGCTGCGCGGAAGATTCCGACGGGAGGCAACAGTAGCGGCGGTGACTACCTCCCCAAATTCAAGGTTCGATTTCTTTAATTGTCAAGGTGAGTGGTGTCCATATGTCCATCGTTAGCTTTAATTCGTAGATTAGAATCTTATTCATATGAATCTTGCAATTGTTTGTGGAATAGGACAATTTGATTGTTGATTGGGTTTGTGCTTGTTATTTTTGGGCCGGATACTGGCGTGACGCCGGCTGTTGGCCGCAGAAAGTGGCGGCAGCCGCTGGTTGGATTATGGAGAGGTCCAATTGGACCCAGGTCCAATTGGGTCAAATTGGATGCAATTGGACTGCTTTGGGGTCGATTGAATGTAATTGGGTTGATTTGGGTTCAATTGGGTGCAATTGGACTGGTTTGGGTTTTGCATGAAATTGGGTTGAATTGGGCCCAATTGGGCTGATTTGGGTTCAATTGTGTGTAATTGGGTTGATTGGGTCTATTGGATTGTAATTGGATTTGTTTGGACTGAGTTTTGGTTGATGGACGACTGTTAGGTGATCTTGGGCCTGATTGGGCCAGTTGGGCCGGCTCCCTGTTGTGGAAGCAGGGCTTCCCAGCAGTGGGCAGCCGCCTGGTGGGCCCGGGGTTGGGGTTTTGGGGCTTCAAGGTTGGGCCGGCGGGTTGCGAGGCTGATCCGGTAAGTATTGTACTGTTCCGGCGGGTGCAGTGCGCCTGAGGATAGAGTCCTTGATCCCGAATCCGCGACACAGGTAAGGTTATTTAATGTTTGGATTTTATGTTAGATATCCGGGAGCATCAACGGAGACTTTCCTTAGCCCACAAAAGGAAAGACGGATCAGGGGAATAAATCCAGAGTGTGGTGACGTTATTAGGGTTGAATCCACTCCTTCGCCCTTCCCTAAAGCCCAAACCAACACCAGGGCTGTCCTACACCCCACCTAGGCCGAACCAACACCCCCCCATTCCTTCCCTAAACATCCAGAGTTCCTTGTCATTTAATTCCTTTCAAAATAATGTTTTCCTACACTTATTTTTAGCCTATGGCAGAAAATAAGAGTGTGTAAACCAAAAACTTTTGTTTGTTGTTATTTCCCTTTTTCCTTTCTTTCTTTGGCCAAACTTAGGGCATCCCATGAACCCCATATCACCCCTAATACACCCCTGGCAGAAGTTCTTTGCATAAACCACAACCAAACAAAACACTTCAATTCCCTCATTTGAGAGCCGAGGATACCAGGCCAAAACCACTCCCTTATTTCACACAATAAACCCACCATTAC